CCAATTCTTTACACTTTTATTAACACACTTACAAAAAATAACATTCAAACACTGAGAAAATTAAATAACTTTGGAAGCAGAGCTCACAGCTTTCTGCCTACATATAAGTGACAATTCTGGGCTGTTGGCACAAAAAATAAAATCCACATTCATCAAACCCTTACTACTATATATCAAACATAAGTTAAAATCATAGGCACTAGTTTATCAAATCCACATTTCTTCTGTAAGACTAACCACAATAATCATTAGACTTTTCCAAACAGAAAAATTGGCAATATACAAAGGCTTCTTAGTAAAAAGGCAATTTTTCTCTTTAGGAAACTAAAAGCCAATAGTCTGTGGTAGTACAACAGCAGGTAAAGTAATATTTTACCAAACTCAGATCCAAAATACGTTTCTAACAAGTAATAAAATAGTAAAAAAAAAAATAAATTCTGATGCAGCCGTTTAAAACAACAAAGTTCAAGAACCTGAATACTCCTTTTAAAATGGATTAAACAAAAAATGTAACGGATGTTTCATAACAGCATTATTAGATTGCAGCATATTTTTGCTTTGCAATGTTGCACTGAAAACTGAGACCTATTTTGTGTATATGTGGTTTTTTAAGTAGACAGTGGCTTTCTTAGTTTTACATGAGATACCCTCCTCACCCACGGTAGATGCTTTATCTTCCTCTGAAATGCAACATGTTTTTATTCATCATCATGTGGAATTCTGGTACTGTCTTTCCCAACGCACCCTCGATCGCTCTCAAAGTCAAGGATAAAACTGTTTCCTCGCATTACACATCAAAGTACATTAGTACTGGCAGTTTGAATCTCCAGCTGCTTGTGCTAACTGAATGACTCTCCACTGGTTAAGCTAATAAATACTATCAAAGTGTCAGCCATAGTTGTATAATTTATCAGTTCTTCAACCTGTGAACCTCAATGCTGTCGTGAATACTAAGCCTTCATTTCTCTCTCACTTTCTTTTGCCAACTCAAAGAAGGTTTTTGATTAACAGGAAATGAACTATGTTCAAATTTCTAAAACCTTTTATTTTTTAAAAAATTTCTTTTCCTTGTTATTTGAATGAACATTTACAAAGAAATTGCTTTTTCACTCACGTACTCATTCATACATATTTTGCTTTGTTTCCATCCCCAACCTCCACCAAATTCCAAAATATAAAGTTAATACTCACGGAGTAACAATATCTTCTTTCTTTCCACATTTAGCACAAACTTCAAGCTCACAAGCACAGGGTCTGCATATGATGTGGTAAGAATCCTTCACTGTCTTTTGTAAACATTTAACACTAAAGATAGTAAAAAAAAATAAAATTCTTTTTTGCTAATTCCTCAAGATTTATGTGATGAGATAAGGCACTGTCATCATAAAAATGTTTTTGTTAAATCACTGTGCTGCACTTGCTATGACTTTCCAAAAACATTTACCTAAATACTGACATGAAAATAGATTTTGAAAAAGAATATTATTTAAAAGTACATGAATAAAATTCTAAATAATCATAATTATTAGGAGAAACACAGGCAACTCCCTGGTTACTATGACAGTTGCTCTTAATGTTATTGAAATGTGCCCTCCCTTTGAAAGGGGTGACCTAACCTCTACTTCACCACCATCAACTTCACTTGCTGCACTTTTAGCTCTTAAATCACTGAAAAAAGGTTTCAGTGACTGTTTTCCTGTACTAATAACCTTCCACCGCTCCCACTAAATACAAACCTCTCAAACTCAATGGCATCCAGTCAGAAGTGACTCAAAGTGAAGGAGGGTAAATAAGACCTCTTTGGATCTATTCCAAAGTACATACACATTCTTTGGTACATAACTGGGAAAGGATATTGTTTAGGAATGAGGATTGCCTGTAGTCACAACTTTTTTTTGGCTCCAATTTTAAAAAACAAATTTACAAATAACTTTAAAGAATGAGCCTGATTTGGTTAGCTTCATCTGAGGCTTAAAAAAAAAAATCGGCTTTCATTTTCATGAAAATTCCGTTTTAACACTAAGGATTCCTAGAGTAAACCAACCTGTTACTTTATGGGGGGGGGGAATCTATTTATACATTGTTTGCGCTAAAATTTACATGGAAAAATAGATTTAAAATGGGATATCCAGTTTGATGCAACTGCATGGTTCAAAATTGGGAAGGGCGTACGCCAGGGATGCATCCTATCTCCATACGTTTTCAACCTATATGCAGAACAGATTATCCGGGAGGCTGGGCTCTATGAGGAGAAATGTGGGGTCAAGATTGGTGGACGATTTATC